AAAAAAAAAAAAAAAAAAAAAAAAAAAAGACATACTGTGATTTTCCTGAATGGAGAGAGAAAACTTTCCTGAACATGGAGCGGGTTAAAACTAGGAGAGGGGATGATAACTGTCTGAGAAGGAACAGCTAAGAGATCAATGTAGCTTTCATGATGAAACAGAGCTGTAAAGGTAAGTGAGAAGGAGACATGCCTGTGATACCCAATGCTCAGGCCAAGGAGAAACCCACCTATAGGGAAGTTGCTGAAAGCATTTATTGGTGATGGCCCTTTTTGCAGCTCAGGTGTAGTGTGGGGCATGACATTGTCAAGGAAAGACTTCATGGCTGGCTGATGGAGTGGCTGCTGCTGAGATGGTGGAGTCTGCTGCTTCACCAACAGGTTTGGATCAAGTTGACGAGATTGTTGCATCATTTGCTGCTGCACACTAAGAGGTCGACCCTTAAAACAATGAAATGATTGGAAAAAATCATTTGGGGGAAAAAGTCTTTACAGAAAACTATATATTCCTCTTCATTTTTGAATTCACTTTCTTTTCAGCAGAAAGGTGAATAATCACTGTATAATGTTAACATAACTCATGGACAACCAGCAGACTTAATGAACAACATACTTGATTATATCTTAGTAAGATTGTTTTAAGAAAAACATTCTGAATCTCTTGTTAGAATGGAGATAAGCAGAGTTTATTAACACAAAGATTGCACAGCGAGTTGGAGGGCCGGCTCTACCTGCTGGTCTTGCTGCGGCCGGTTCCCAGAAGGCACGCTTCTCTGACTCTGCGCCCTTTGCTGCTGCGCTAACAATCGCTGGAGGAAAGACGGCAAGAAGGTTGTTACTATGACACCGTTACAAAGTCGTGTGCTCCCGAATGACGACAGTAGATGGACCTAAAGACAACTGGTGCGATCCCCAATGCCAACATATCTCGCCTTATCTAGTACAATTTCTTCCTTGGACTCTCTGGCTTCTAGTCACTGCTGAAATTCAGTCTTTAGTTCAATCTAACCTTTCACTTCAACAGAGAAACTCTTCCTGATCATCGACTTCCGCCAGCACCCCAGACCTGGCTGCGGCCTCCTCTCACAGCATCCTGCACTTCTTCAAAACATTCCTCACAGATTTTCACCGTCTGTCTTCCCCAACAGACTGTAAAGCTCCATGATGACGACTATGCAAGTTTTGTTTACTGCACTATGTCCTGAACAGAGCCTAGTGTTTGGCACACAGCAAATGCTCCATAAATGTGTATTAAGAAAGACTATGACTTTCCTTACCTGTAACTGGGAGATCTGAGAAAGCTGGTTTAGCTGGTTCAGCATGGCTACCTGTTGAGGGCCAAAGAGTGGATTCAGGCCACCGTTGTTTGGTGCATACTTCAGCAATGAAACTGGAACCTTAGGATCACAATGGTACGTTAATGATCTTGATAAAATAACTCACACTAGCTACTTGTACTGTGTGTTTTAAGTTGTCAATAGAGCAGTTAAATTTGTGGACTATTCACTGGGGGTTATAATCTTTGTCTCTGTCTCACTAACTGACCATTCACATATACTTCTTCGTGGGTTAAGTAAAAGATGACAGAGATGAATATTAAACCAGCCAATTTTACTTTGCTTTTGTCCTCCTCTCAAGATGTTTTACAGAAGAAAATGGTAAATTTTAGATTTAAATTATCCTTGACTTACCCTTCCTACAACCAAAGTAATAGTTAATTCAGAACTAGCTGAATCTCAAAGATGCCAATAAATATGATGATGCTTAGCTAGCCATTTCATTCAAATACAAAATCATGCAAGATCCTTTTTGCAGGTAAACAGAAGAATGTAAGGAAACCTTATTTACCTGAGGGGAGAGTAATGGAGGAGGCACTTGAGCACGGAGATTAGGCTGAGATGAACTAAGAGGTTGTGCTGGAGGCTGCTGCATGCCCCGGGGTTGTGCTGCTGTGTTTCCAACACCAAACATACTGGGATTGCCATTCTGTGAAAACAACGAGCAACAAATGACAGCGGGATTCCTTAGGGACAAACATCTCATTGCCACATTGTACTATGATTTAAACAATAGAACTACATGTAGAGAGATCTTATTACTAATACAAATCATTCAACTGAGAGCCTAAATTACACATCTGGACTTACCTGTCTAACAGAATTCAAGTTTTGCATACCCAGCCCTGCTATGGAGCCAAGGGCCTGGTTAGGTAGTGCACTATTTGAAGGGGGAAGCTTCATGCTTTGACTGGACATAAACTGCATGTTTTGGGATTCATCTGCTACAATGCCATCCTGATTGGACAGACAGAAAGATGTGCAACACCAGCCAAGCAAACAAGTGGAAGGGAGAAATCATTGCAGGAACAGAAGAGAAGTCACATGACATTCCAGCATCAACAGGAAACAGGTAGAAAACAGAAGAGATCAGATTAGTGTTAATTCTAGAGCACACAAAAAGAGCCAAACATATTTTATGGGATTAAGAAGAAAATATAAATGCAACCTCTATGCTAAATTGAGACATAAAAAGACAGTGAACTTCAAAATCCAGTAAAAGAATTTGGTATTGGATTGTAACACTTTATATTATATAAAATGTTTTAAAATATTAGTGTGAAAATTATGCTATTAAGTGTGCTGGTTTGTCAAGTCAGAGGTAAAAGTAAAAAATCTTACCTTATCAAAATAAGGATTGCGCTCCATGGAAGACTCTTTGGAAATCTGAGGCCGAGAACCAGGGCCTTTCCCGACCGTTCGATTGTAATCACCAATATTTAGGCTATGTTTATCTATCTCCATTCGTTTGTCTTGTAACATTCCTAATAAATGCAGGAGACTATGTTATCAAACAAGAAGACAACCCATTGGTTTCAGATAAATTTACAACAAGAGCAAAATACTTTCCAAACCGAAATGACTTCACCCAAGTCAAGGATATGTGAAAAATATACTTGCATTTCATAAATTTTATATTCCTCACAAGTGAAGTTACAATTAGGAGATACTGTTATTTTACTGAAACAAATAACTTGAAATAGACTAGTAAACAGAAGGTGGCTAGCTGATAACCTCACTTTATTGACTGATTGATTGAGACAGTCTCGCTGTCACTCAGGCTGGAGTGCAGTGGTGGTTTCCTGGATCACTGCAACCTCCGCCTCCCAGATTTCAAGCGATTCTCGTGCCTCAGCCTCCCGAGTAGCTGGGATTACAGATGTGTACCACCACACCCGACTAATTTTTGTATTATTAGCAGAGAAGCAGGTTTCTCTATGTTGGCCAGGCTGGTCTTGAACTCCTGACCTCAAATGATCTGGCGGCCTCGGTCTCCCAAAGTGCTAGGATTACAGGCATGAGCCATCGGGCCCAGCCTCATTTTAAAAAGACTCTTAGGACACATAAGACACTTTTAGTCATCTCTAATCTGCTGAGTTTTATAATACAGGTAAGTTTCCATTAACAAGTAACAAAAACAACAAAAACAATCAGCACACACTGTGATAATCTGCCATTTAATAAATGATTATGTCAGTCACCATCCTAAGTGCTTTTCTCTTTTTTTTTAGACAAGATCTTGTCGCCTAGGCTGAAGAGCAGTGGCGTGATCTCGGCTCACTGCAACCTCTGCTTCCCAGGTTCAAGCAATTCTCCTGCTTCAGCCTCCCGAGTAGCTTGGATTACAAGCACTTACCACATGCCCAGCTAATTTTTCTATTTTCAGGAGAGACAGGGTTTCACTATGTTGATCAGGCTGGTCTCCAACTCCTGACCTCAAGTAAGCTGTCCACTTTGGCCTCCTGAAGTGCTGGGATTACAGGCATGAGCCACTGTGCCCGGCCTCACTGTCACTGTTAACACAGGTTTTCATCTCCCTATTCCTCATTCTTGACGTTTTCTCTATCCTCAAATCTCAATATCATTTCTTTGCAATTGCTGTTCTTTGAGATGTCTGCTACCACCTTAATACTTACCTTTACTATTCTCATTCCAGGTAAGTGGAAGAGGAAAACATTTTAACAAAAGGAAAACAATTCTGAAAGTAGCTAAGAAGTGCTGTTCCAGACATAAATCTGGTATCTGAATAATCCACCTTTCACACTTAAGAGCCCTCTCTTGAATGTCAATAATCCTTACCACAGCTTCCTCCTCTGTTCTGTGTTAAGGTGTCACAATTCACTGATAACACCCAAGCTAGCCATCATGAACTCTTTTCCCCACTCTCTCCATCTAATCCTGTAACCAATTCCAACCAATTCTCCTGTCTCTCCTGTCTCTCTCTCCAAGCTGTTCCTTCTTGATAATTCACATTATTTTCGCCTATGCAAATAATATCTTTTGAAAGAATAGTAGTGGCCAGGCATGGTGGCTCACACCTGTAATCCCAGCACTTTGGGAGGCCAGGTCAGGAGTTTGAGACCATCCTGGCCAACATGGTGAAACCCCATCTCTACAAAAATACAAAAGATTAGCTGGGCATGGTGGTGGGCGCCTGTAATCCCAGCTACTCGGGAGGTGGAGGTTGCAGTGAGCCAAGATCATGGCACTGCACTCCAGCCGGGTGACAGTGAGACTCCATCTCAAAAAAAAAAAAAAAAAGGAAAAGAAAAGAAAAAAGAAAGAGTAGAGTAGCAGCATGTTACATCTTTTCCACAAACCACTGCCCAACACTTCTGCGTCCCTGCATCCCTTTAAAAAGAAACTGTCAAATGATGCAATCTCCCCTTAGTCCTCCAGTCCTCTAGTAGATCCATTACGAATCACTACCGCTAAGCCCCATTGTCAAATCCATTCCCTGAAAACCAGTTTTCTCTTTTCAAAACTCTGTACTCACTTGGCTTCTGAAAAATTATTCTACTCTAACTTGTCCCACTTCTGCTCCGGATCCCACCCTTAAATGTCATTATTCCTCAGGGCTGTCTTTGGTCCATTATCCTTCAGCTCTCTCGAGTCAAACTATTCCTATGGCTTACACTATCATCCACATGTAATTAATTACACTTCATATCTCAAGCCCCATCTATTCTGAGCACCACATCCAGATTTTTGACTGTTTACTGGACATCATGACAGGTGGTTTTCAGAGCACCTTCAAACTCAGTATCTTATCTATCAAGTCTGCTATTCCTATATTTCCTACCTCAAATAATGACCACTTATTGATTTATTGTTTCTCAGCTCCAAATTCACCCTTTTTGACTGCTCCATGAAAATCTATCTGCACCCTTTACATTTTTTTCCTTAGCCAGCTGATAATGAGGTTTTGTCAGAAGAGGGTGGTGGAGAGACAGGGCAAGAGGATGAGTGCTGCTTCCTGGGCCAGCATGTACATTTGGTAGGTATGGGCAGCCCTTGCAGCTTCTCCACTGCCTGGTGGGTCAACAGCACTCAGTGGCAGCTTCTCCCAGCATTCTCCTCCATTCCACACCAAACGGTTTTGTCACAGAGTGTCTCTGGTGAAATACCTCTCTATGAATGCCTTTTCCTAGCACCGCAGAGGGCAGACTTCCCACAAGTTCCACCAGCATGACATCGTAGCAACTTCTGTGCCATTCAGTGAGCCGTGGGGGAGGCAGAAACTTGTCCTAACAGGAAGCAGCTCACATTCTGGACGTGGGTTTTTCTTGCCTATAAAGCTTCTGCCATCCACAGCCTCACAGAATGCCTTCTCCACTGTCGTAGCACTCCTCACAGCCATCATGTCTTATCTAGGAGCTCATGTCACAGCACAGGATATACAGGACTGGTTCATGCCCATGGGATTAACCGATCTTACCACATATGCCACTGTCTGAAAGTAGCTAACCAAATTGACAGGCTTACTAAAGAATCAGTTAAAAAGCAGGTTGGGAGACAACATCCTAAAAGGGCTGGCATCTGCCTTAGGAGGATGTGGTATGTGTCTCCCCCATTACCAGAATTTGCAGGTCTCAGAATCAAAAGGTGAAAGTAGGAGTGGCTTCTCTCACAGTTATACCTAATGAGCCCCTTACAAAACACTTTCTGTTCGGACAACTGCTGATTTACACAACTTTGTCCTTGAGAGAGAAAATGCTTCCAACAAAAACCACAACAATGGTTCTGCTCTGCAAGATGAAGACTACCTGGACATTTTGTACTCCTTCTGATATGAACCAGCAGGCAAAAAAAAGGACTAGTCTACTGGCTGCGGTAACTGATGTGATTATAAAATGAAGGCAGTGAAAACTGTCTGGAACCCAGGGGATTTTCTGGGATGCTTCTTAGTACTTCCCATACCCAGTAGTGAAGGTCAATGAAAAATGACGGCAACCATAAGAAGCAGGACAACTGGGGGCTCAGATCCTTTGGGAATGAAGGTTTGGGTCACTTAACTCCACCAGCTAAAGAACCTAGAGCAGCTGAGGTTCAACCTGAAAGGAAGAGGCAGTGATGGGAGGAAAGCACAGACACCAATGATGGCTTGCGGCCAATTACAGAAATAACAATGGTAGTAGATTTGAATGTTTTCTATTGTTTGTCATATGGATGTGTTAATTTGCATATGCCAAGCATTTTCTTTCCTGTTTTTACGTTATTCACAAGTTATTAGATGGTAACTTTTATCATTGAGTCTTTAGGTAACAAACTGTGACTGAATTTCTGGGATGATTGTATAGCCCGTAAAAAATACAATGACCCTTGAGATGGTTCATCTCTTCAGTTTAGAGATGAATACCTCCTCATTTGCAAGAAAGAAAGCAGTATCTTGTTAAGCAGAAATACAGAGTTGCGTTGTCATTATACTGGACAAGTATGTGTAGAAAAGTACATAAGGAAGGGGAGTAGTGGTGATTACTGACTTACTTTCTCTAGCTCCAATTTTTCACCCTTTCTGATTGCTCTGTGAAAAAAATGGACTTGGGCCCTCTATAGATATTATTTCCTTTGCCATCTGGCACTGACATTTTGCAGGTACAGGATGTAGAAGGAAAGGTTTGGTTTCCTAGTTCTGGTCTGCTCTCTCCTGCAGCACAGGTAGCTTTGCCAGCACCAGGCTCCTGCAATGCTCACTTCACCGGTGGCTGGCAGTATCTACCGGCATCCCCTCTGGCAGCTTCGTAGTATAAGACACCTCTCCTGTGCTCTGCTTTCACTGGTATCTTAAGAGGGTGGATTTCCTGGAATCCTACTGGCATGGCAACATGGTGAGACGAAGGGGGCTCTTCCTTGAGCATGCTATGTCAGTCCTCACTGAGTGACTTCCCCTTGTATCTGCTAATGCTACTCCAATTCCTTGTTAAAGCCTTGTATATTACAATTTTCCTGTTCAAATTACTGTGTAGTTTCTCTCTCCTGACTAGACTCCAATGAACTCAATAGCATTGGCATCTACTAAACAGTCCATGAAGTTTTCATCAAACTCTCTTCCTCACCTGCCTAACAAATTGGTTCAAACTGGTTATCAACTTCTGTTGATTCCAAATCCTATGTCTCCATGAATTAGATTATTTGCATCTGCTATCTTGGTTTGGAGCTTTGAAAATAATTACTGGCTACTGAAACAAGTATCCACCTGGTTTTTCTATCTTTAGTAACTTCTGGTCTATCTCCTGCTACAATGTTTTCTATTCTAAGATACTGTCAATCTATAACCAAGATGATTTTTCTAAAACATAAATCCAAACCATGCCATTCCCCTGCTTCAGTTTAATCTCATATTTTAAGAATAAAGTTCAAATTCCCAAGCTCCTCATGACTTAGCACCTACTCATTTTCTAGCATCTTCATCCAAGTGATCTTTCATCACCACCACCACCCCCACAACCCCCACCAATTTTCTTTTTCTTGTCCATTCTATGGAACTACTTGCCATTTCTCTAGCGTAGTTTAAGAGTCTGTCATATATCTAGGCCCTTCTATATGCTGTTCCCTAATCAAGAAGACTATACCCTCCAATCTGAATAACTCCCTTTTGGCAGGACTATCTGTAAGGTAATCTGACTAACATCATCAATGATCTGTTCAGTGGTCTGCACTTCCAAGGCACATGCACTAATTTAACCAGAGCATGTGTATGTATATTGGACAGCACAGTCTCCCCTTGTCCTGGTCTATATCAGGGTTCTTTCAGTAGAATCATGTTGTGGATGTGCTTGTCCCTCAATGAGGAATAGAAACAAATTTAATTTTCTCTTACCTCCAGAAAGGTCCATCTTATTGCTTTGTACATTTTCCTCTGGTGAGTCTCTCTGAAGAAAGAAAATGCAGCATGTTAGCAGACCTTAATTTATCAATGTAAACAATAAAAAAAATGAAGAATTTTACTTTATTTCATTGTCTGTGAAATTCAAGTGAATCATAAAGCTTCATTTTTCATTGTCTAATGTAATTTTTAAAATTTTTTAACATAAGACATGAGACCAAAGTTTTTAGCTGAAGCCATAAAAATAAAGGTTTGGAGGTCAATTTTACCCTAACATCAAGCACATTCCTAAGGACTCGAAGACAAAAAATAATTCTTAAAAAAAGAGTGAAATCAAGATAAATTATAGACCACCATTAGAGGAGGAAGGAGCTGCTAAGAAAACACACTTACCGAAAAACTGATATTTGAAAACTGTTTAACAAATGGATTTATCCACGCTTCTTCTTGTTTGTTTCCACCTTTCATCATTCCCTTTGTAAAATAAAAGAGTAGAAAAGATGCCATGGCCATCTCTGTTTAACTGGGTATAGTGACGGATTAATAAAACTTAAGACAATCCCCAATTCTCATTTTTAGCCAATAATTCCTCCTCCAATCAACTCTTATCAGAGTTGTTAATGATTAAAAATCAACTTATTTGATTTTCAACTTCCTTTGCTCCAGTCCTCTGGTATAGCTGTAATGTACAGAGAAATCTCTAAAGGCAAGCAGTCAGAAGGAAAAGACAGAAGCAAAAGGCCTCGATGACCCACAAATATGAAAACAGGGCCTCTGAGTAATGGAGAAGATTAGTTATAATTTAGATTTTTGGAATTTTCACTCCAAACCAAAGTAAAAAAAATAGTGACTCAGGTTAGTCCAAAGAAGCCAATTTAACCCATAATTTAATTATGCTATATGCATTCTACTGAAAAAACACCATGAGTTTCCCACATGAAAAAGTAGTTTAAAAATTCAATTTGTGTTGCCAAGAACACATGTCCAGCAGGTTGAACCTGGGATTCCTCCTGCTTAGGGCTGGCTCTCTGCAGCTGGTTGGGGTACGGGTGGTATGGAAACTCCATTGAGTTGAGAGGATGAAAGATCTGTAATTAGCAGTCTAGTAGACAAGGAGGCTGGAAGCCAGAGAGACCTAGGTCTCTCATTTATGTGAGGATCACAGTCTGTTGCCTTCATTACCCTTTCCCATTGCTACTGTCCATTCCTTCTGACTGTGGAACAGAACAAAGCTTCACAACTTCCCCCCAAATGCAGGTTTCTGAAGCAAGCGCCTAACTCCCTCCGCAGATTCTGAAGTTGGCTTTGATCCCTTTTCCGCTTTTACCCCATCCATCCCCATACCTAACTAGCTGCCAAGTTCTTCTGTCCCTTCTATTCTGAAATGTCTCTCAAATTAGTCACTTCCACTATATACCTATTCTCATTTCCCAACTCAAGCCCTCCTTTCTAGCTTGAATTAATGCAGATGCTCCCTGAGATCCCTAACTGTGCCTCTCCTCTACGTCAATTTATATTTCATACTATCACTGATTAGCTTTCTTTTACAAATTAATAATTTTAAAACCCCACTGATACTGTTTTCTATTCAATTTCATTGGTTCCATAGTTTACACAAAATAAAGTTAAAACTCCTTGGCATACTATTGAAGACACTACAATCTGCCTTAACTACAGAGTCAGATCTCTTGTCACTTCTTCCTAGAAATTCTACATTTTAGTTATGTTGGGCTATCTTCCTTAACACATCCCACCCCAAGAATCTTGCAAATTCAAGCTGACATTCTTAGGAAGCTCTCCTAATGCCCCATACTAGACTATGAGCTCCCGAAAGGTGAAGCTCATATCTCAGTGTATTTGAATCCCCAGCACCAAGCACAGTACCTGGCACACAGCAGAGGCTAAATAAATGTTTGCAGTTGCTTTCTAAAGATTTTTACTAGTAGAAACAAAGGAGAAAGAGTAAAAAGGCTACACACCCTTTCCCTTCTCCTTTTTTTGCCACTCAGACCCTGTAAGGAAAGACAAAGTCACAAAACAGCATGGTCCAGTGGGAGGAACACAGGGTTTGGAATTGGAAGACCTAAACTTAAGTCCTTACTCTGTCATTTACTAATTATTGCAACTTTGGGCCAGTCATCACCTTTTCCAGTCTCAAATTCCTCATCAGTGTCCTATCTTAGAAGGTTATGAGGATCAAATGATTTATGTAAAACATGTAAAAGCACTTCATAAGCTATATGGCAAGGCAATAGGCAAATTCAGCCAAATGAAAAGTTTTAAAAATGAAAATGGTAGGTCCTAGACTTAGAATCCCAGGATTAAAAGGGAGGAACCTTAGCAGTTAGCTAGTCCAGCTATCCACTGGTATTTGACTTCTAAGGTCCCTCAAAAGGTAATCATTCTCAAGTATGGTGGGTTAGGATGTTATGTTAGAACCACTTGGGGGACTGGGCACGTATTTTGAAAACGGTCCCCAGGAGGATCTGATGCCAGCCGCCAGTGCCACCTCTTAAGAACCAGTGCTCTAAATCAGTGGTTCCTAAACCTGGCTCTGCATCACAGACATCTGGGCAGTTTCTTTAGGATAAGAAACTTGGTCCAATTTCCAAAACTTCAGTAGACCTGAGGTATAGGAACTTGCATTTGTAGCAAATGCTACGGGATTCTGACATAAAGTCAGCTTTAGGAATATGATTTGTCCACAAATAAAAGCAAAATCGGGCTGAGTGTGGTGGCTCACACCTGTAATCCCAGCACTTTGGAGGCTGAGGTGGGTGGGTAACGAGGTCAAGGGATGGAGACCATCCTGGCCAATAGGGTGAAACCCCATCTCTACTAAAAATATGAAAATTAGCTTGGCGTGGTGGCATGCGCCTGCAGTCGCAGCTACTCGGGAGGCTGAGGCAGGAGAATCACTTGAACCCAGTAGGCAGAGGTTGCAGTGATCCAAGATTGCACCACTGTTCTCCAGCCTGGGTGACAAGAGACTCTGTCTCAAAAAAAAAAAAAAAGGCAAAATCAAGCTCAGATCATTCCTTGGGATTTTTGTCACAGGACCTTTTGGGATGAGATAGGGACAAAGATGACAGGTGAATAAGGAGGATGGTGATTCTGGGTAAAGGGGTGGCAGGGAAACTCCAGGTGTGGGGGTGAAATGGGAGATGAACTGGCAGTGGGATGGAAAGAGTCAACATGGAGATTTGCCCTTCTCTTCATCCTCACCACTGCAGGCACCACCCTAGGATGAGGGGTTGTCCCAGGCAGCACTGGTAGAGGGGGAGGAGGAGAGAAATCCCAAGCTGTAGCAGTGGGGAGAAAGGAAGTTCCTGTGGTCTTGTTTCTCTAGCTGGCTGCCCATACAGGTGGCTATACCTAAGGTGGAGGCTGCCTGGACTGTACTCACTGCCAGAAATGGGCAGGCAAAAAGTTAATTTTCTGTGGGTAAACTACCTTTGGAATTTAAAGTTTCAAGGGCTTTGCCCTTGAAATGTTTACCTTTGATGACATTTTCTTTGTATATGGTGGCCAATTTAAAGATGAGTTAAGCTCTTGAGATGAATTACTATTCCACATTCCAATCTCTACATCCTCTTCCTCTTCCCAGCCAGTGGGGCGATTTCCAGGCAATGGCATATCATCACCACACCAGCCATCTTGCATAGATTTTGGCCCTGATTGTGGATTTGTGATACAAAGAGAAACATACTTTAATAACAGAATTCTTTCTAGAGAAGAAGCATATATTAAAAATTGGGTAGAGAACCTAAGAAAACACACACACACGCACAATTATTTCCCTTCCTGCATCTACAGAGAAGAAATGTATGTTTTATACTGAGCTAAAAGTTCCATGAAAAAGAATTTATTCTTAAAAATTTAATAAAACTCCTCCATGCCTTTACAAATCATGGTTCTTGAATAATGGTGGCACTCTCATTTGTATCCACTTAATAATCTGCATAGTGACGCACAAGACAAAGAAAATGAATGAAATTTGAAAGAATCAATTTTTGTATATATTTCAAAAAGAAAGGCCAAAGAGTATTCAAAGTCATAAGCAGAAAGCATCTTATCTTCACACATGGCCCCTGGGATTCCTATGGGGTATCTTGTACACAACCTATGTGATAATGACAATGTTAATTTGAATCTTGGGTCCTTTCTGAACTATGCTAATTACCTGTAACTTTCAGGGAATCATCTGACAGTTTGAATACGTGTTCTCATAGGTATACTATTTAGCCTCTCAGGCTGGATGACATGAAAGTTGCTAGTAAACTCTTTCTAGATAACCTAATTTGGTAAAATATACTTTAAAGTATATGCAAATTAATAGTTACAGTTCTAAGAAATATGAGAAAAGAGGAAAATTCAAAAGAGAATAAACCATGTTACAAAACCAAAGAGCAAAATACTGAACCATTATCTATCATGTCATATTACATGAATATATTATAAATAACATAGAAACCTTATCTAATTATTTAATTATAGTCAGTGAGTGATCACCACTGCTACACAACAACTACCAGGCATTGTCAGTAACTTACCAGATTTGCTTAACGCTTGTGGACCAACAGAGCTGGAGCCCCACGTGGATGTGCTGGATGCCGCAGCAATAGGTTCCCCCCAGCTGGGACCACTGTCTATGGGCTTACCCCATGCTGAAGTACCATTATCCACAGTTGTGGCTGGAGTAGAAGGCTCCCCCCAGGGCTCACCCCAGCCTTTAGAAAGTGTGGGAAAAGAAGTCATCAGCATAGAAGGTAAGGAGGTGCAGTGGAATAAGGGACAATAAAGAATATTTAGGCACCAAGGATGAAGAACCTCATGTTTAGGTACTGAATAATGATACTGTGATAGGCAAAAAGATGGCATCTGTTTTATGTTAAAAAAAAAAAAAGACAAACTATTTCTCATTAATATAACTATAAGGTGAGAAGTTTTTAAACTTCTTTCATAATTACCCTCTAGGCCTATAGCTGATTATGGGAAACCACTCTCCTTTGAGCATGAATTTAATTCCTGGAAAAGTCAAGTCTTTCTGAATGAAATTTTGTGAATTGGAGCAGGTGATGAGCTATACCAGCTGGGTGCAGTGGCTCACGCCTGTTATCCCAGCACTCTGGGAAGCTGAGGAGCAGATTACCTGAGGTCAGTAGTTTGAGACCAGCCTGACCAACATAGCAAAACCTGGTCTCTACTAAAAATACAAAAATTAGCCAGGTGTGGTGGCGCACGCACACCTGTAGTCCCAGATACTTGGGAGGCTGAGGGGATAATTGCTTGAACCCAGGAGGTGGAAGCTGCACTAAGCTGAGATTGCGCCATTGCACTCCAGCCTGGGTAATGGATCAAGACTCCATCTCCAGAAAAAAAAAAGTTGTGTACATGCGCACCCTTTTCACACCACATACAATGGGAAAACAATTAACTACCCAGCTAACAATAATGAGTCACCTACTTTTTACACATGCTGAACAATGCTTATTTTAAAATTTGAAGTATTAGGCTGAGGTTGTCCAAAGGAAAAAAAAGAAAAAAAAAAAAATCAAAGCCAACATGCTTCATCTTAGCTACATACTTCTTCCTTTTAAGAATCAAGCCTAAATTAATACAACAAACTATACTTAGACTAAAAAAAAAAATTAAGTGCTAAAAAGTTAGCTCACGAAAGCACTCCTTATCTACTTCCAATGAGACTACTAAGACAATGTAGCCAATCACACTTAATGAAAATGTTGCCAGGATAATTTTCAGAGACAGAAATTAGTTCATTATAAGAGAGGAAAGTAAGAATATACTAAATACACAAACGTACATACTGTATCTAAATAGACTTGAATTTCTCCCCTACTTAAAAAAAAAAAAAAACCTTCTAAAGCCAAATATAGTACCTAAAGTTTAGAGAGTACTGTATTTATGAGATACTTGTTTTATTTCTGGAGAAATTTTAGTCGAATAATAAAATCAGAAGTTAAGGCCTAACTCAAAACAACTTAGAGAAGTGTACAGCATTCCCACTTGACTGCCCTTGTCCAATTTGCCTTCTGTTGCATTTCTAATAGAGAATGAAGTATGCAGGACTCAAACACTGCCAAAAAGTGGAGCTCTGTTCTCTGGTGGTAAACATCACCCCTACAATTTTCTTCAAGTTGCTTCTGGATTACACTCAACAGCCTTTGTATGCATATCCAAGCACTTTGTTACACACATCTTATAATAACAGTAAGTTAAAACATGGCTTGATTCCATAAAATAGAAACTTACCAGAGCCACTGCTTGCCTCTTTGTTTGAGATGGCACTTGCAGGCGGTAGCAGCTGATGTACCTGTGCTTGCTGGTCTGAACGGCTGTTGCCATTTGGGACATTTTTGTTCCACATGTTCACATTTTTGTAGTTGTATTTGCTTGGATCTCCCCAAGCTGAAGTTCCATCATCAATCTCCATTTTGCGACGTATAGATTCTGGGGATGGTTCCTCCCAGCCTGTGGGTTCTTCTTCTTTTGTTGGGGCTGGTATAGGTCCCCCCAGCCAGCCTGTACCAGGAGGTTTGCCTGTAGCTGGTGGGATTCCCCAAGATCCAACAACGTCTTGTTGCTTGTTCCAGTCTGGAGAGCTGACTGGCTTTGACGAATCTCCCCAACCTAGAGACTGATTAGACTTTGGAGGGTCTCCCCATCCCTGGGAAGGAGTAGGTTTAGAAGATTCATCCCATCCTGAAGAATTATTTGGATTTATGTTATTTCCCCAAGTAAAAGAACTAGTTTTACCAAGTTCGTTCCAACCAGAAACGGACCTGTCGCTGTCACTACCTCCTGAGCTGGATTTCTTATTGGCCTCACCCCAATGGTTACTTCTTGAAGTTTCTCCCCAGTTATCACTGGCAGAAACAGACCACCCTTGGCTTGATTTCTGTCCATCACCCCATCCCTGTTTGTTCTTTTGCGAATCATTCCATGCAGCCTTCTCCTCTTTGCAATTCCCCCACTGATTGCTCTTGACCATTCCTGTAGCAGCAGAATCATCTTCCCACCCCCCCTGGCAGTTTGAGCCTTTGGAATCTCCCCACCTCAGAGCAGGTTTGGGATCGCCCCACCCCGATACAGATGAGGTATCATTACTATTAGGGCTAGTCTTATCTATACATGCCCCTGAGTTAAAAGTCTGTGTTGCAGAGCTTCCCCAGGCCTCTGTCCCATTGTCAGTCTTTCGTTCCCCTCTAGGTGATGTTTCTGTATCCCAGGCAGTATTCTGCTTAATAGGAGTCTGTCCCCAACCAGAGTTGGACAGGACACGTGGATCTAAGTCAGTTCTGTTTACAATGCTTTGGAGTAATGTGTGCTGATCAATTTTTCTTCTGTCTCTATTCTGACTTTCCCCAGTTCCTTTCTCCTCAAGGCGTCCAGTGCTTTCTGTACTACCATCGCTCTCCACTGTACCTCCTGTTTTGGCCCACACACTGCTTTGCTCATTTGTCTGAGATGTGGCAGAACCCTGATCCTCTTCCTCAGTAGATTTCCATCCATTTGTAAACTTCTTACCATTGCCATTTGCACTGTCATTGGAATGCTGATTGCTAGGCAGTTTGTTCCATTCAACGCTGGGCAAATTAGTGCCAGTGTTTTGTGCAGGGGTTCCCCATCCTCTTCGACTTCCTCCAGAATTTGCGCCATTTCCACTTCCCCATGACGTACTCTGTGAGTTTGCTGCACCAGATTCCCACACGCCACCTCCTTTATTTGTGTTAACTTGAAAGTTAGTGCCCATAGGCCCATTTACGCCAGGCTGCATTAGAGTTGCATTCACAGTGTCACCATTAGCTTGGCCATTAGGGCCTGAACATTTGTCTCCAGAGTAATTAGAACCATACGCACCCCATGTAGTACCATAAGAGCCTCCACTTTTTGACTCTCCATTGCTAAGGTGAGAAAGGGAAGTGCCATTCATACCTGATGGAGCCTGCATCTGAGGATGATTCATTGTGCTCACACGCCAGGCCCCTGTATTACTACTGGGCAGCTCATTATTCTGCACTGAACCGGAGTTTGGTAAACTAGAGGTCATAAAGTTAGTAGTGTTATTTGGTCCAGTCATTTCAGTGGTAATATTTTGAGGTTGACCACTGAATGAAACCTTCTGTGTACCACTTACTTCAGATTCACAAGTTTCCTGAAGGCTTCCCCAGGTACCATGGGTAGAACCACCACTCACTTTAGAGTTAATACTCTGATTGTTAGGCATCTGGCCTATAGAACTGCACTGAATATTGATACCAGAACTACCACTCCCTACAGGCCCTTTTAGGGCAAGTCCATTGTTCTCTAATACTGGCCAGGCACCATGGTTGCTAGCTGAATTCAAAGTGCTTGGATTTAACCCTCCATTTGATGAAGAACTTACAGTGCCCCAAGCATTCATTCTATTGTTGCTACTTTCAGATTTGCTTTCAGGAGCATCCACAGAGACCTGACATGTGCTTATTATGGCTCCATGGGAAAAACCCCATGGCCCAGTACTACTTCCATGGCCCACATTATTGCTGCTGCTACCAACTACAAACTTGTTTTGGGAACCAAGTCCAGTGCTATTCCGAAGGCCATCTTTTTCACCACCTGTGTTCCCTGAAGCCATGATAGTGATGTTTCTCTCTGATTCAGAACTGGAGGCAGAATCAGCATCCATACATTCTGAAGCCAACTCCGGATCACTGCCAGGGACTGAGGGCCATGCTTCTTTTTCAGACAAGTCACTTACAACAGCATTCTTACAGTTTGTGCTAGAATCACATGTAGAAGACACAAGTCCCCGCTGGGAATTTTCATAATGGGATCCTGAAGTACTGTGGTTTATATCTAGGATAAAGGAGAAGTACAACTATTTATAAAGTGTTAGGCCAATGACATTAAATCAAACTTAAGAAAAATGACAAATACATTATAAATATATGTGGCTCCTCAAATTTAACAAGCTATGATCCTTGGCAGAATGGTTACAAGGGCACTGCTTATCTTACAGCCACCAACTTTCCATGTTCAACTGATATTATCCTAAGATCCTAGAGGACATAGCAGCCCCTTGATAAATACTTGCTGAATGAACACACTGTTAACAGATTGGTAAATAAAAGAATTCCGGAGTCAAGAAGGTCTAGGAGGCAGTGACACATAGGATAATGGAGCAACCCAGGCACAGAAGTTTGACATAGGAAGATGGGTAAGGAGAAGTGAATAGCCCAAATTTGATGAAATGTATTAGATATCTTTTCCACCCTCCGTTTTCAAGTATAGCTTTTCTACAACTGTTTTGGGTATTGCAACAAGTTTATAAAAATTTGTAAGAATGGTAAGATAAGAATCGGAAAGGTTTTTTCCATCACATTCCATTTCATTAGTGTCCATATTCAACTGGAAACATTACACCCAAGTCACAGTTCAATTTCAGTTTTCAGTTCAACTTCCTCTCATAAAATTTTCTTAATTTACCTTCATAACCACATTTATATAAAAGATAACAGAAAAGTAATTATTTATTATGTTGAAGATCACAGAATTATTATGGTCTCAAAGAATCAACTGCTGACACTGGAGATTAATGACAAGTCATACAATCTTATAATCTTGGACTTCCTGCTATGTATTATCTGGTTATTTTACCACAGGTAGGACGCTGCTTCTGATAGTTCCCCAGATACTTAATTCCCACTTGGTTTAAGGATCTGGTAGGCAGAAATTCCTCAGGGGCATTCACCTGCATAAGCCATGTGCATTTAGACTGTCTTGAAGGGGTTGCTTATATTGCAGTTTTCTACTAGAGTACCAATCAGAATCACATATAGTGCTTTTAAATACACATATTCAAGGCAATGTCCCAGACCTAATAAGCCAACCTTCAAGGGGTTGTAGGCCTAGGAGATAAATAAAAGTCACTATTAAGGTGATCTGCTAAAATGGAAAATCAGATTCAATTTGCATCATTTTCTCTCAAAGCATAAACATTAAGAAGCAACAGATGATGAGCTGGAAAGAGTATCTGGAAAAGTGACTGGAGAGAAACCGGAAATGATATAAATTCACCAAATAATATACTTTAAAGTTCCACAGGTGATTCTAACCTTCACCCCCTGTTTAAGAATCATTTCTTTAATGATTCCTAAAGCTGCCAAAGAAAATCTGCCATCTTTCAGTGCACTTGAGAATTTCTCATGAAATAAAGCGTAACAATAAGTCAGTCTCACTGGTTATAAGCAAATCAACACACTAACACCTGCACCAGCACCATCAACAAATGTTTGGCATTCAGTACTATGTCTGACAGCTTTATGAGCACTTTTATCACTGAATCTTGAGAGCCATACTAGAGTGCAGGTATTAACTTCACTTGCAGATGACAAAACTGAGGTTCACAGGTTAATTTATGAAAAACTAAATGAGAAAGGCAGAATTCATCAGAATCCTTCATAAAGCAAGGTACCTAACAATGTGAATAGGACTCTAGAGACACCACGATTCAAGTCTGGACTCTACAAGCAAATCGCAAAACTGGAATACAAACAGTACCTCTTAAGCTGGTTCTTTTGTTAATTGTACCATTACATGCAAAGCATTAAGCTCAGTGCTGGCTGCAAATACATGCCTCTTAGGGTCAATTTAATGTAGTGATTAACAGCACAGATTCGGTAGCCAGAACACTTGGGTTTAAGAGAGACTCTACCATTTACTAGCTGTGTGACCACAGCAAGATCCTCCATCTCTGTGCCTAGTTTCCTCATCTCTAAAGTAGAAATGGTAACAGTCCCAATCTCATACAACGGTAGTGTGCATTAAATGATTATTAAAAGTACTTTGAACTACATCTGATCCATATTGGGTGCTTAATAAATGAGGGCCATCATTATCATTGATAAATGCATGCTAATAATTATCATCTTTTAGTCCTATCTCCAAAGTATGTTTTTCATTCCACCATGTTTCCCTTATGAAGAACAAAATGGGAAATCACGTAACAACTTCCTTGCTTAAAATTTCCACTTAGATATCTGAAGCAAAATCTTCATATTCTGGATTTACACTCCAACAGAGTGTAAATTCCTCTCCTCCCAAACAGGGTAAAAACTGCTTCTTTACAAGTTTTCCTCGTCTCAGTAAGTTTCCTAAAACCTAAAATGCATCTTTTATTCCTCCCTATGCACAGCAAATGCAAAACATCATTAAGTCCAAAATCCATACACCTTTTTTCCAAGTCTAAGACAATCCAGCCATCAGTCACTGTCTTTTCCTGGACTACTGCAAATATATTTCTACTGCCACTATTTGCATGTGTGTCGGGGGGAGGGGGAGGTTTTCATTAAGGCAGGAGTAAGAAAACAAGATTGGGCATCTAAAACTACCTAAATGGAAAATAAAGAAATGATTCCAGAATTTAAGAGTGAAACACCAGAAACATTCCAATAATGACAAAAAAAGATAAAAATATTTGTTATCAATACTACGATTCAGCCCGGTGTTCGAAGTGCTAACTGATTAAATATGACTCAAAAAAAGAGAGGTAAAGATAACAGAATAGAGGCAAAAAAGATCAACATGAAAAAACAATTTCCTTTCTATATGCCAGAAATAATCCAAGAGAAAATGTTGATAGGAAAAGTTCTTAATCATTAAGAGCCATAAAATAATTTGGGATAAAGCTAGCAAAAATACTTAAAGAACTGAATGATATTTTATTGCAGGCCATAGAAGACACCTGCAAGTAAAAAACCTTGTTCTGGATATGAAAATGTCACAACGCTCTACGTTTAACTCAATTATAAGAAACTGTTAACAAGAGTCTATAAAATGATTACAAGTGATTTAAAAATTCTTTAAAGCAAATGGGGGAGTAACCCTCTAAAAAAATCTCATAAAGAAGAGGTTGTGAAGAAGGGAATCTGCAATATCAGGAAATAGTTGAACAGCAATGTACTGCCAGAGTGTATAAGCACTTTGACTGAACAGAAAAAGTAACCCCCAAACAGATCCAAGTATGTATCAAATATCCTATTTCATAGATTAGCTTTTTAAATCAGTAGGGAATATTCAGTACTTGAAAACTTTTTAAAATGAGATAATATATAACAAATAATCCTAAATGATTAAAATATTAAAAGTCAAAGATGAAACCATGAAGCTATCAGTGATTTTTTTAATACATAAAAGAAGCCGTAAGTGGCAGATTTCACTTGTTAATATTAGAATACATCAAAAGCAAAGCAAAAAAGCAAATGTCTGAATATATTCTACAAATGAGTTCCATCATCTTTCATATTAGTGGAAAATGTTCTCAGATCCTGGTTATGACCCGGTTTGGTGGTTAAGTTTGTCTTTTAAAATATTATTAGCTAAAATCCCATTTCTAATCTGGAACCACTTGATCCAAGCCTAAATTAAAGATTACCTTAAAAACTGGGTTACCAGCTTTCTTCATCCCTGGCTGTCTGAGGATAGGCCGCCATCATGAAGGACACAGTAACTATCCACACTAGAAAGTTCCTGACCAACCGACTACTTCACAGGAAACAAATGGTCATTGATGTCCTTCACCCCCGGAAGGCAACAGTGCCTAAGACAGAAATTCAGAAAAAAACTAGCCAAAATGTATAAGACCACACCGGATGTCATCTTCATATTTGGATTGAGAACTCATTTTGGTGATGGCAAGACAACTGGCTTTGGCATGATTTATGATTCCCTGGATTACGCAAAGAAAAATGAACCCAAACACAGACTTGCAAGACATGGCCTGTATGAGAAGAAAAAGACCTCAAGAAAGCAACGAAAGGAACCCAAGAACAGAATGAAGGAAGTCAGGGGGACTACAAAGGCCAATGTTGGCACTGGCAAAAAGTGAGCTGGAGATTGGATCACAGCCGAAGGGGTAAAGGTGCTGCAATGATATTATCTGTGCCACTGTGGATTTTTCACGAGAAGCCTAATAAACCAAAAACTTTCCAAAAAAAAAAAAAAAATTGGGTTACCAAGGGTTATAAAGAAGTACGTTGTAGTTGAGGAAAAAAAATTGGTTTGGTATTCTAGCTCATGCCTGTAATCCTAGCACTTTGGGAGGCCGAGGTGGGTATTGCTTGGGTCCAGGAATGAGATCATCCTGGGCAACCTAGCAACACCCCATCTCTATGAAAAATAAAAAAATCAGCTGGGCGTGGTGGCATATACCTGGGGTCCCAGCTTCTCGAGAGGCTGAGGCAGAAGGACTGCTTGAGCCCGGGAGGCTGAAGCTGTAGTGAGCTGTGACTGCACCACTGCATTCAGCCTGGGCAACAGAACAAGACCCTGTTTCAAAAATGAATAAACAAATAAAAATAAATAAAAGGTGTTGGCTGGGCACAGTGGCTCACTCCTGTAATCTCAGCACTTTGGGAGACCGAGGCAGGTGGATAATCTGAGGTCAAGGGTTCAGGAGCATGGCCAACAGGGTGAAACCCTGCGTCTACTAAACATACAAATATTAGCTGGGCATGGTGGTGGGTGCCTGTAATCCCAGCTACTTAGGAGGCTGAGGCAGAAGAGCTGCTTGAACCCGGGAGACGGAGCTTGCAGTGAGCCGAGATGGCACCACTGCACACCAGCCTGGGGGATAAGAGAGAAACTCCATCTCAAAACAACAACAACAACAAGAGCAAAATGTGTTGCAGGGTATGGGAACAGACATTATTATAACCGAACAAGTGAAAAGAATAGGACTCTTCAGGAATCCTAAAAATATGTTTCAGAGATAGGGATTATTTCAGATTTGGAGTAAGTCAAATAATTTGTTTCCCTTATAGATACACAAGACTCACTGTTGTAAATGATCTGGAAGA